TTCCCTTAGGTGTAGATCTGCTGAATATGCAAATGGTTTCATAAATTTCATTCCTTATGTCTCTTCTCTGTACTGAGTTAAGCTTTAACCCTTTCCTATACAAATTGTGTGTGTGTGTGTGTATGTGTATGTGTGTGTTAGACCAGTTCAAGTGTTTATGTAGTATGTTAGACTAGTTTAAGTGTTTATGTGGTTAATAAAACCTTACTTGTATCACACTTGACGTTGTTCATTGTTTGCTCATAACTGGAGTCACTTAATCATGCAGATTTATGCTACAAGCTTTTGTAGAATTGTACAGTAAGAAAGTTATTTCCCTTAACCAGGAAATTAACGTTCTTAGAATTGACAAGACAGTTGACCCTGAGAGGTCAGCTAAATATCTACAGCGGATCTAAATATTCATAATTAATTATAACTAGTTATGATTAATTATTCATATTTCCTCATGAGCTGATTCGTTACAACAGTCATATCTGTTGAGTGTGTGAACAATGAATGTTTTTAAAATTTCAGTACCGAATGGTATTGCGGTCGGTGCTTTTGACAACACTAATCTGTATTGTATAATGCGCTATGTAAATAAAGGTGACTTGACTTGAATTGACAGTCTGATGGACCCAGTTGTGGTCATAACAAACTTTTGATCAAATGTGTACTACGCTTTTCCTTTATAGGCCAACACCTTTCAAAGACAATTAAACACCGCTTCAACAAGCAATCAACAAGCACATCACTGAGACAAAACGCTCACATCCCTCAAAGTAAATAAAAAGCAAGCTAAGTCCAATTTTGGTGCTATCATGCTCAATTTTGAACTGTATTTGCTGAATTAAGCACTTACCAGTCCAGGTACTGAGGTTGTGAGCTGAGCGGAGGCACAAGAAATGCAGGCTCAGACGAAGTAACAACAGCAGCCCCCTACAAGAGTGTAACAAAAATTAAATGATTTGAGGGTCGCCTCAGGTCACCGATTTCAAAACGGGTAAATTGCAGACAGACAAAGCATGTAACAGGACTGAACTTAATAACTTATGCAAATCGCCTCAATAATTTTACCAGTTCGCTAGGCTCATCCTCCGAGGTCTCTCTGTTTCCTTGGAAACATCTTAAGCCAACTGTCCTTCTGTCTGCTTTAGACTCCACTTCCTCCTCTTCATTAGGACATTGTTCAGATTGTGACTACAAGAAGACAAGACAGAAGGCATTAAGCATATTCAGCAGAGAGTGCTGTGCATGCTGAATCTTAATCTTATGGTCTACAATACATATATGATCACAGTGACTGTCCAACCTGTTCCTACACTAACAAGATGATAAGACACTTACCTTGCCTGGAACAATTTCTCCTTTGTCCTTTTCAGCCTGTCCATCTGTTCCCATCTACACATAGCAGACAACACTGTTGTTAATAAATTACCTAGATCTGAAACATCAGCTCTGGGCCATCATAAAGCTTCACCCGTTATGATAACCATACCTGAGTGATGGGAGAAAACTACTTCTGCATCGAATCTCTGCCTTTAACTCGAAGAGCACTCGGGGGAACTTGATTGCTCGAGTAAACTGATGAGAAAGCTTGGATCTGTATTGACATTCAACACTGTGCCTTCGATTCTTGACCCAGTGACAGCACTGATCGTGTGCAGTGAACGAAACTGATGTAAGATGTTGCTAGAGACGATGCTATCTAGTACGTGTGCTCCACTGCAGTGTTCGCCTATGTGCTCACTTGTTATCTGTCATTTAATAACCACCAATACTATACTGCACGTCTCATTCTGAATGCACTGAGTATTACTAGCTGACTTTCTCATCTGTGCTTCATTTTAAGCAACCTTCTTGCAATAATTTATAGCCTACAATTTGTCGCCCAGAGGGGTTAGCTGGCTAGCTAAGTTAGACAAGCTATGAGAGCCGTTTACCTTCATAGTGCAGAGATGAGCCGGCTGATGAATCCCAAAGCTGATGAGCTGCTAAAACCCGCCACAGTGTTTTTGTTCACTTTAAAACGAGGCACGAAACATTTTTTCTTTAAGGAACACAATAAGAGGCCCTCCCATCCGATTCCGACATTTTGCTTCCCCTTCTGTGAAACTGCCGGCATGGGCTTATGGGAAATGATGTTTTTCATCAAAGACTATTTCTGTGGCGGTGACGATGCAAATCAGAGGTGAAAGGGAATTACTTTGTAATTAATATATATATATATATATATATATATATATATATATATATATTGCATTAACATTTATATTAATTAATAAATGTCATGTAGTTAATTTTTTGTTGGTCTAATATATGGTGATTGTTTGAGCCTGATACTCAAGTGATTTTGAAATAGTGCTATTTAGTACTATTATTAGTTTAATAATACAGTATTTGTTTTTAAATTGGTCTTTAAATGCAACCGAATAATGGCTAGGTTTTTGTTTGGCACTTTCATGATGGTTAATTTTTCATAATAAAAAGTTTTAACCGTTCACATTATTAAGTTCACAAACTGTCTTGAAAACATTTTGCTTTGTGTCCTTTTTTTGTCATAAACATTTGTATTGTTTTCAATAATGCGTTCATTTTTTTATGCACTTTTATTTTTTAAGAGTTAGCCTACGTTGCATTGAAGGTATAGGCCTATACATTTTTATCAGTTCATGCATTGCCGGGGAATCAAACCCATCTCCTTGGTGTTGCTATAACATCCTACCCTTTGTATTGTGCAACACAAACAAAAACAGTCAGATTTTTTTTTTTATATATGCAAACATTTTAATCATAAACATGCCCACTGTGTAACATTTCGAGTGATCCTTCATTCACTGCTGTTCATAATTAGGTTGGTATCATCCAAATAGGCCTACCTTATCCCAGACCTGCAGTACTTAAATAATGCAAGTTATTTACTCAGCTGAAGTGCATGCAGCAGACTCTCTATGTGTTACAGTAATCCTCCAGGTCGTAATAGTCACAGTAGAAATGACAGCACTGCTCTACAATACCTCTCTTTGCAACAGTGCTTCTGTCAGTGCCTCTCTCTCCACTCTGAGCAGCTGCTCCAGTCTGCCGCAGGAAGGGGACACTGTTCCTTATCATGACGCATGTTGAAAGACGAGCAGTGTTACAAATTAATTAATTATATGATATAATGATATTAAATTAATTAATTTAATCAACCAGTTTTCCATTTTCTACACAACGCATATAGATGGAAAGACCTGCATTAACTTCTAATAAATATCATAGGCTACTCTGTTACACTAAAGAGATGGGGAGACCAGGGATGGTTGGCTACAAGCGATTAATTGGATACTGTCACATAAATGCTACCCTTTTGATATTAAAATATTTTATAATATTTTTATAGAGTAGTCTAATGGCTTAATATATATCATAAATCTATCCTATTAATTTCTGACTTAAAAAGAATAGGCAGTTCAAACACAAATGAACGTTATGTCATAATGAACTCACCCTCTTGTCATTCCAAGCCAGTATGACTGTCTGTCTTCTATTGAACTTAAAATAACATGTTTTGAGAAACGTCTCATTTCTAATTTAAATAACAATAGAAGAAATGGGCAGATTGGGCATTTTTCTATATAATTTTATTTAGTGTTGCACAGAAGTAAGAAAGTCATGTGGGTTTGGTACAACTGTAAGTAAATGATGATCACATTTTATGACATTTTTAGGTGGTGGTGGTGGTGGGGGGGGGGTTATAGATGAAAAGGAATTAAATAAATATGGTATGTTTTAAAAACATTACTCAACATGTTTTTAGATTACTCTGAAAAAATGGTGATGGTGATAGTGATAGTTGAATACTTGAATTATATAGCTTCTTAACCTCTTAAAAACACACATAGATATACAAATTTGTGATAGGCCTACTAAATGTTTCTTTTTTTACCCAATAACGTTAGTTTGCATTGAATGGGTTCTCTTGATGCTTGTTACACAAAACAATTTTGACAAAAAAATGGACAGACAGTAGGCTGTCTCTTACTGTAAAGCTTACTGAATGCATCACACAGAGATGCAATTGTAACCAGACTCACGGAAAGTGTGCTCTCTGACACGCCTGGCAGGCTGGTAGAAGAGGCCCTTTTCACCACAGACGAGCAGCAGCGCTTCCACGAGCTGAATCCCGCGCAGCCTTCGATTCCCAAACGCGCCGCTATGGGTCACCAGAGAGCCGGCACACAGCGACAGCAGGAGCAGTCCAGATCTGTGCATTCTCCTCATGAGAAAACTTAACAGATCATGAAACGCAAAATAGCAACTCTTTCCTGTCTGGTAAGGTTGATTGTGCCCTGTCAAGAGTGAAAGTGTCGTCCAGCCCAGTATTGCTGGGGTTATTGTCTCTTTCTCTCTCTGTTCTAATGGACTCTGCGTTTTATGAGGGTCCATCAGTGAGCTGAACTACTAGCCTCAATTAAGTCAAGTCAAGTCAAGTCTGCTTTATTGTCAATTCTTCCACATGTACAGCACATACACACAGAGAATTGAAATTACGTTACTCTCAGACCCTTGGTGCATACAGATAACACTAACAGTAGAACATAAATACATAATCACCTTCAATCAGTACAAATAATTACCTCTATCAGCTCACCTCTGCCTTTCTCTTCCCGACCCCTTCTTTGTTTAATTACCCCTATTAAGCTTTATATAAACCGGTGCTGCTTTCATCTCTCTCTCTTTTTCTCTCTCTCCAACCCTTTTTCTCAGTGTTGTCTGAATGCCAGCATAGGCTTTTTTTTGGTTCCTATTGTCTGGCCCTATTGGCTTTCTCACTAATTAGAGCTCATGTTCTGAGGATAACTCTTGCAGTAAGTAGTATTATTTTTACATTATTAAGAAAGAAAGAATACAATATACAGCAAACCTGTGCCCACAGACAGGACCAAATGCACAATCATGGAGTTTTATTTGCAGTGTTGTGAATGAGTGAGAGAGGATGGGTGGGATTAGTTTCAAAAACTCAAAGCTAAATCTGAGGCCCGTCAGATTACAAAGAGGAACATATGAAGGCAGAGACACACTAAACACGTGCCGTTTGCAAGGAAACTCATCACATTTTTAAAAATCTGTGCTTTTTAAAACCACAGAGGGTAAGTGCAGCAATATGAGTGTGTCTCTAATATTCTATTCTTCACAAAAGTTAACATATTTTATATTTGGTTGATTATTAATTATTAAGAATGCCTGTGGACGTGGAGAAGATTATTCAGTTTATCAAACAAGGCAACCAGGACAATGTTCAAATACATCTGGATGATTACAACACTGAGGTAAATACAATTTCAAGCACAATGCTGAATTTTAATTAAATATAATAAGATTAATACTGTGCTTAATATGATCACTGTGCCAGAAAAAAAACTGTTAGAATCTACTACTACTTCTATAACACTCAGATATGATCAGTTTCCATGACAACAGAACTGGGGTAAACCTGAAGGGTGTTTCTCATTACTTATCCAGTAATTTTACAATTTCTGCAGTGTGGTGAAGTTTTAATATGTCTAGCATTTGCAGAGCCTTCAAATCCTGCTGCCTCATATATTTCACCTTTTAATTCTCCCTTTGGTATTCACAGAACTCACAATGTTTCTTTTTTGATGTTGAAGAAAGAGAGAGAAGAAAGGTAAATTCTAAAGTCTGTGCTAATGTTTGAGTGTTTATCTGTCTGCCCTCAATCCGAGGGCACACATGGCTTGGATTAACACAGCTAATAATGTAAATCTCACTCATCCACCTTCACTTATCTTTATCCCTCACTTCACCCTCATCTCATTCATTTGGTGTAGGCTATATAATACTCTCAAGCATGTTTTAAATCATGATTTCTCTCGTTTTGTCACATACTCATTATTCTCGGCTGAACTGAGAACAGCAAAGAGAGCTGGAAGAGGTAAATCTTTCACATGACCTACAGAAAAAGAGCAGGTATTTGCTGTAGTTAAATAAAGAAGCGAGTGAGATGTCTGTGGGGAAGAAAAACCAGAGAGGTGTGTAATCTGAAACTAATATACTCGCCGCCTATCTCACCCTGGGGCCCCTGTACATACCGATACTCAGAGCGTCTGTGTTGGATGTGCCTGTAAACTCTTTTGAGCTCATTATTTTGTTGCACTAATTATTGTGCCATGCGTCAAAAAGATAATTTATTGGTTCTCATGCATTCACAAGAGCCATTTACACTGTTAAGCCCTGTTCACACCAAGAACAATAACTATAAAGGTAACGATATTAGCATCCACACCAGCGAACAATATCGTGTGTTTATTCTAAGCGCTTTAAATTCTCCAGCACGTTACAGCAGGATGGATTCTGATTGGTTGTCAATTTTTTATCGTTCATCAGCTGGAGAAAAATCGTTTTGAAAGTGATTCCAATGATATCGTTTTTCTTTGTCTTTTTCGTTATAGTTGTGGTGTGGACTCTGCTATTCTTTAATATTGAGAAAGATTTTTAGAACTATATATTTATCGTTATCTTGCTTGGTGTGAACAGGGCTTTACACTCTTCATGATGCCCGGGCTCACAAAATAAAGCTTTTATAAATTAAAGCTTTTGTAATCTTTCCTCTGTGTTGAAGGTTTGTACCAAAAGCCTTTAATAGTCTTCAGTGAACTTCAGAGTTCTGTTGTTTATATGTAAAGAAGCAGACCATGGTTTAAATCTGAATCTTGAGTTTGAAGGGCAGACACTGACTTCATTCTTTTCCATGTCACCTCTCATTATTGCAAAAGCTTATGTTTTTTTTTGTTGTTTGCTTGTTTACCTCTCTTTCACTTGTCTCTTGTGAATGTTTGTTCTTCTCCATTCAGTTCCGCAGGAATAAAGTGAGAGAGTATGTTCCAGACTCTGACTCAGATTTGGACTCTGATGAGAATGAGGATCCAAATCTTGTTCTGCGCAGGGTTAGAGTCAAACTTCTTTCCAAAACTTTTTTTCACAACTTCTTTCTTTACAACTTCGTTAATAAAATATGGCCAAAAGCACAACCCAGCACCACATCCATATATTCCAGTTAATTTTCCAAATTCAAAATTGAAAAGTTTTCTTCCTTCCTATCTATTGTTCCATCTAGCTATCTATAGGCCCTAGTTAAAAATTACAGTTGAATTTCAGTTCCTTATCTATCTATCTATCTATCTATCTATCTATCTATCTATCTATCTATCTATCTATCTATCTATCTATCTATCTATCTATCTATCTATCGTTCGTTAAAAATTATTGTTGAATTTCAGTTCCTTACATTGACAATTAGAAAGCTTGTCCACATATGTTTGGCCATGTTGTATTTGATTATATATTCCCATCAAATACAATGCTAAAAACCTTTTCCTCTCTGTCTCTAAATTATAGTTGAATTTCAGTTCCTTACATTGACAATTAGAAAGCTTGTCCACATATGTTTGGCCATGTTGTATTTGATTATATATTCCCATCAAATACAATGCTAAAAACCTTTTCCTCTCTGTCTCTTCCAGAGGCTTGCTGCAGCTCTGATCTGGTTCATTCGCATGCGGCTGCAGCCAGGAGTTTTGAGGGTGTGTCTGCGAACTCTGCGAATTATCTCGCGCGATCGAAAGGCCTTGGCACCCCTGATCACGGACAATGCCATTCTAACTCTTGCTCGACTCGGGGGCATCTCCGACCTGCCTACCTGGCCTGAAGAAGAGGAGGCTGAGTGGGGATCCTCCCACAGTGATATCACTCCTGAGAATGAGACCGAGACACGTCCGGATAATAATGGCAGCAATACACAACACACAACTTGTTACAGGGAGGGAGATGATTCAGTCTGTGTCTCTGCAGCCTGTGCTAAACCTTTGGTCAGTGAAGGAGGCTTGCAGTTCAACCCTGTGAATGTGACATCTAACTGTAATATTGGGAGAGAAACACAAAACGACCGCCATGAAGAAAACGTGAGGAAAGATGGGGTTTGTGGGCTGTTGACAAGAGGAAAGAGGGATGCTAGAGGAGAGAAGAATGAGGAGGGGGAGGAGGAGTATGATGATGGAGAGGTCTGGAGGAAAGAGGCAATGAAGGCCCTGTGCAATGTCATCTACAATAGCCCGAAAGCACAAGAGAGAGCCAGTATCCTGAGGTGTGGCTCAAATTGTTACATGTGAAGCATTTGTGAAGTACGGTGTCAATAAATATTTCAATATCATTATAGAAAACTCACTCTCTCATTCTCTTGCCCTTTGTTTTCTTCACCAGGTTGCTCCATGGCCTGTCAGAGAGACTTAAAGACGGTATACAATCCTCCTCACCTCCAAGTGGTCAGTTTTATGAACTGCGACTTCTCTTTCTGTTGACTGCTTTACGGCCTGAGCTTAGGATAGAGCTCAGACAGGTAACAATCAATGATACAAATATGGAATTAGGTATTGTTAGTGATACATACACTGTAAAATACATTTTTCAAAGTTTATTGGATTGTTGGAGTACACATTTTTTCAGGCTAATGAACGCTTGGTGGACAGAAAGATGGAGCCGGGACTCCCCATTAAATACTTTTCCATCATTAATGAATAACTAAACAAGAACACATGAGTAATGCAATATTAGCACTCTAGTAACTACTAGTATCTAACAAGAAACTCTGATTATTGAATTATTAAGTAATAGGGCTTAGTCGAACGTGGTAGTTCGCTATTAACTAATCAGTAACTGCTATTTTTTTTATACCTCCCTGAACTACTAAGAACTACTGTATACAGGTTCATAATTGAATAATACATAATGTATAATTCATTCTAAAGTGAAGGGCATGGTAACCCACTAGTAATGACTCAAGTACTACCAAATTCTTCAGAAGGAATTACAAATTATTTGGATCAGTATTCTAAAGTGAAGATCATGATAACTCCCTAGTAATGACCGAAATCATTGTAAGCTTTTGAGGGTTCTGTAAAGTATTCATTTTGCTAGATTTGGTAACACTTAAATCATTATTAGTGGGTTACTGTAGAATTTTACTTTAGAATACTGATCCAAGTAATCAGTAGTTCCTATAAGATTTGTTAATACTTGAGTCATTACATTACTATTGATTACTATTGGGTTACCATGATCTTCAATTTAGAATTAATTATACATTATGCACAATTCACATTAATTATGAACATGTATACAGTAGTTCTTAGTAGTTCTCCAGGATATATGAAAAAATAGTAGGCATAGTTATTGATTAGCTAACTACCAGTTTCAACTGAGCACTATTACTTACTAAATCGTTAATCAGAGTTTCTTGTTAGGTACTAGTAGTTACTTCAATGTTAATAGTGCATTAGTCATTTGTTCCTGTGTAGTTATTCATTAACAACGGAACAGTATTCTAAAGTGTTGAAACAATGAAACGTTTAGCTGAACTTTATCTTTTAACTTTAATTCCATTTGAAATGTACTTATATTTTTGTAGAATGCAAATTTTATAAAACAATTCATTTGAAATAAAACAACAGTTAGAGGACCCCTGCAGTATCAGTGTGTAGACCACCTAGTCATCAAGGCCACAAAAAGGAAAGTGTTAGGAAAACACAAAACTGCCCGTTTCCTTTCTGTGGGCATTTCAGAGACTCATTCTGTGTGCTCTTCCTGTCAGGAGCGCGGCGTGTCCATGCTGACTGCTGCACTGGAACAGTGTTTGGAAGTGTGCTGGGGTGAAACGCATGAGGTGCTGACTGACCTCACAGCACCCCCTGTGTGTAAGGAGGTGACTCAGCACGCCCTTGAGATTCTCAAGACCCTGTTCAACATTACCTACAGTGTGAACAGACAGGAAGGTATTTCATTATAAAATGTAATGTCTTTAAATGTGAATTATACAGTGCTATAAGCTGAAGGAAAAGTTGGTTCCAGTGTTAAACCTGTTGACTGAGAGCAGCAAAGCACACAGGGAAACTAGGCACTATCTCAGACAGCAGGTACAATACCTCAAAATACCTTTTTAAAACATTTTCACCATTTCAGTGTTTTAAAATGTTCAAACCAAGAACGATAACTATAAAGATAACTATAGCAATAATTACATTAGCGTTCAACTTATTATAAGAGCATGCTGCAGTCATGTTGTCTGTTTGGCTGTCAATGTTTTTATTATATATCAGCTGGATAATTCATTCTGAAAGTGATTTAACTACATTTTCCCTCTGTGCCGTTATCGTTATAGCTGTGGTATGGACTCATAGAATTAGAACGATTACTAAAAACTGTATAGTTATTGTTATCCTTATAGTAATCATCCTTGGTGTGAGTATAGGTGTTACTTTTGGAGCACTCTATAAACTTGAAACATTAAGTTTGACTCAACATATACTTGTTATTCTCATGGCTGTGCACCAGGAGCCTGATCCTGTGCTATTTTTGAATAGATCCTGCCTCCACTGAGAGACGTTGAGATAAGGCCTGAACAGGGGAACACACTGAGGAGCAAACTAGTGCGACTAATGACCCATGTCGACACTGATATCAAACACTGTGCGGCTGAGCTTCTCTTTGTGCTGTGTAAAGAAAATGGTACATAGATGCATCTACTGAATCATGTAAAGTGCACTGACATTCATACTTTATACATACCATGATACCGAATGATTGTCATATTCATGTATCATGGTATGAACATGTAAGTGCTGCTGGGGTGAAGTATTTTTGTAGGCCAACCCAGAGGTTAATAGCTCCCTGCTACCCTTGACAAAAACCAAACATGATTTTTCAAGTGGTTTATTGCAGAAAATAAGCTCTTTATGATTCTTACATGTTTTGTTCATCATGATAATCGACACAAATGAACACAGCTTTTATGCATTTTAAAGCCTAAATACAATCGCCAGAAGTAAAAGCTAAATGTAGCCTATATACAAACTACACCAAGGTTGCATGACATTAATGTCACACCACTGCTTTGGAAAACTCTTTCAATCTTTATTTATAAACATTTTTCCTTAAAGTTTGAGTTAAAATAGTTTGCAAGATTGCTATTATAAATACACTAAGGCTGTAAAAGCAGACTAGTGAGTAGATGAACCTGTGATGTCCGTTTGGTTGTGATGATGTTTAATGTCCCTGTCCTCCACTGCTCCGGGTGTGTGTTCATGGTGTGTGTGTTCAATGCTGTGTGTGTGCACTTAGGATGGGATAAATGCAGAGCACTAATTCCTAGTATGGGTAACCATACTTGGCCATATGTCACGTCACTTTCACTTTCACAACCTCTGTAGTTCCATTTAGCCACATGCTAGCAACTGCTTTTTAAAAATCACAAGGGGTATAACTGATGTATTGAAAGTGAAAGTGAAATGACATGTGGCCAAGTATGGTGGCCCATACT